GATGCAGAGTTAGAACAGGAGAGTTGGATCAGGTAGAAGGTGTAGCAGACTGGATGACGTCCACCCAGAGGGCCTCTCTCTCTCGCTCTCTCACCACCTGCTCTGGTCTGCAGGGCTCACAGTCGTCTGTGGGGTACATGCGTGTGACGGGGCAGCGCAGGATTTCATGTCCCTCAGGAACCAGGTTGGTGTAATCCTGAGGAGAGAACTGATTACTTCTGGAGAAACCAACTGGGTCATCAGTTAGAACCTGAAATGGTAGCAACCATTCTCAGGGGACGGTTCTGGTTCCATACCTGGATGCACTGCAGCCACCACCACACAGCGTCCCTGCAGTTGTATCTGGCGCTGCGACCCTCTCCCAGCAGGTTGGGGATCAAACCGTGACGCAGCGTCCCAGCAAATGCCAGAATGATGTTGCTATGGAGACAGAAGGGTTTGGGTATTTCCTGCTGGCTTCTAGTAGCCAATTTGTGTGGCTGACCTGAGTGCAGTGCGAACGATGTGCAGCTTTTTAACTCACTGTCGCTCCATAATGTTTCCGCGCTCAACTAATGCAACGTTCAGACCGCAAGCAGCAGAGGCAACTGGTTTAACTGCAAAGTCAATGGTTGACAAGCATCAAAAGCATCAAGGCGCAGCAAAAGGTCTACAGTGGCAGGAGCAGCAGGAGCAGCAGGAGCAGCAGGAGCAGCAGGAGCAGCAGGAGCAGCAGGAGCAGCGCCTCATGAGCTTCTGAACATCTCAGGCGCATGAAGTGCTTCACAAGCAGCAGCTGCTGGACGCGCCACATCAACCAATCAGAGAAGTTAAAAAAACTTGGACGAGCTTCAACCATCACTAAGTCGAGGCCAGTTGCTTTGGAAAATAAAACAGTTATTCTATATTTTCCAGTATTTATTAATAGAGAACCTTTCAGTGAGTTTTTTCTTCGTGAGGTTTTATAAGTCCTGCCACAGTGCGGTATTTTTAGCGTAGGGAGGATTACACTGATGGGATGAAAAAGGTCCGTCTCTGATGCTGCTGCGGTTTGTTTACATCCACCATCAGCTGAGCGCAGAAATGGAGCTGAGCGAGCGAGGGGGGGGCGGGGTTAAACACTGCACGCCATTCTCACTGCCCTCAGGTCAGAGGCACAAAGATGGCACCATAGTCAGACACGTACCGCGCCTCGGCGTGTCTGCCTGTGATTAGCATGAGTCCTCTGAGCGCGATGAAGGTGTCTCTGCCCCAGCAACGGAAAATCCCAGCGGAGAAATGAGGAAGACCTACAGAGACATGAGCGATGATGAAGAACTGATCAAATCAGCATTTTTCCTTCTGCTCCAAAGGGACAGAAACCTGCTGCCAGGGAGACGCAGCACTGCTCCTTCTCCCCGGTGATGGGGCTGATGCGGTACGGGACGTCCCCCACTTTGGAGGAAACCGGAGGCAGAGCCGGAAACCGGCCCACGCCGCACATCTGGACCGAGCCCAGCGCCAGGTGGCGGACGAACGTGGAACCTTTCTCCACAAAGCTGTTGGAAGATGATGGAGAAGCCTTCAGGTCCCAGGAGGTACAGACAGAAGGGCAACCAGTGGGGACAGTACCTGGACATCAGCTTGAAGGTGGCGTCCAGAGCCGTGGTGTAGGTCGACACCAGGATGGCATCAAAGTAGCAAGGGATGAGGTAACGAGGGAAGTGCTTCAGGTAGTTAAACATGGCTGCCAACCACTGACCCACCTGCAGACACACGTGTGGGGTCAGAGGTCACACACACATAAACGTCCAGTCCTTAGACCCCAGGAGCCTGACGACCCACACCTGTCTGTACGTCCCTTAATGGACGTTTGAGCGAGCGAGCTGCAGACCAGCCCTCTGCTGCAGGGACCCTCCCCCCTCCCCAAGCTGCTCACCTGAGCCAGAGGTCCTTCCCTGTGGATCAGCCGGTTGGAGACAAAGTCTATGAGCCAGTCTCCGTCTCTGAGGTTGGCACACAGAGGGTGGCCCAGGTCGTTCTTTGGACGGATATCCGCCAGCACCGACATCAGACCTGCAGGACAAACACGACTCAAAACACCGACTAGACTCACCTGCCTACTCTGGACGGAGAAAAGCTGGTCTACGAACCAGAAGCACAGAGCATCGGTACCGCGTCACACAGACCGCAACATTTCGCAACATTAGCCCCATTTCCACTAGCCCTCTGAAATCAAACCATGCCGAGTTCAGACCGAGTTCGGATCAGTTAACCGTGCAGAATTCGGACCGAGTTCGGATCAGTTAACCGCGCTGAATTTGGACCGAGTTCGGACCGAGTTCTGATCAGTTAACCGTGCCGAGTTCGGACCAAGTTCGCATCAGTTTACCATGCAGAATTCGGACCGAGTTCTGATCAGTTAACCGCGCTGAGTTCGGACCGAATTCGGATCAGTTAACCGTGCTGAATTTGGACCGAGTTCGGACCGAGTTCGGATCAGTTAACCGCGCTGAGTTCGGACCGAGTTCGGACCGAGTTCTGATCAGTTAACCGTGCCGAGTTCGGAACAGGTAACCGTGCCGTGTTGAGACCGAGTTCGGATCAGTTAAATGCGGCGTGTTCAGACCCAGCCTGGATTAGTTAACCGTGCCGAGTTTGGTTCTTATGACCATTTCCACATGACGCCACTGCAGCTCTCAAGTCGAGAATTTCGCAAACACAAATGGTGGCACTCGTAACATTCAGGAACTTATGTGCCTGGATAGAGTCCTCAGCCCAAATTTCAATGAGAGTCTCGGTCTCTGCATCATCCCAGATCGCATCGCGCTCTTCTGATGCCACTTGTTGTTAAGAAGCGAAGTAGTTTTTGTCGTGAACAGGAGGTCTGTGAATAACAAAGCCGAACTCAGCTGACTGTAAATAGGAGATGGGGCGGTCTGCTGATGCGCTCTTTGATATCAGAGAACCGAGCCACATATGAACCACACCGAACCGTACCGCTGAACTAGAACCGGTTTAACACGGTTCACCTCTGTCTGGCACGGTCTGGTTCAGTTAGATTCCATTTTCACTCAACAGTTACCATGGTTACCGTGCTATGACCGATCTCTGCACGGTTCCTAAAGGCTAGTCTAAATGGGGCTATAGTGTCCTATGAGGTCATGGAGCTAAGATCAAAAACCGGACAGGATGCGTCCCCGGGTCTCTCCTGGTCAGACCTCATGGGTCTGGGTTAGAGACCCACGGCTTCAAAGTAAAAGACAATAAAACTCCCTGAAAGGGAAAGTCCGTCTCCCTAGGGCCAGATAGGGTCGTCTGGGATCACGCTCCGGCATTTAGATCTTTAAAATGGACGGCAAAGGCCCGATCATGGAAGAGAACCGAATCAATCACAGCTCCTCCGCCATCAGCAGAGCTTCTAAATATCCGCTTAGAAAGTAACCCTGGTCCCAGATGGGCGGAACAAACAGGGTGGAAACATCTCTAGGTTCCAACATGGCCGCCGTGCTGCTGAAGACGCTCCGTCTGCACAGTTAGCAGGAGGAAAGACATCTTTGCTTCTGTAGTCTGCAGATGGTGAAGAAACTTTTTCTCTTTTTCGACACTAATCATTGGTCTTTATAGACGGGAAAGTTGCTGGAATCAGCGCCTCTGTTCATTCAGTTTAATTTAGTAGAAAAAAATAGATCACAGGAAAGTCATTTCAGACAGTCTGCCACTAAGAAACACTAAAAGAAATACAAATAAAATCTAGTCATCAACTTATTTCATTAGAGCAAGCAGAGAGAAAATAAAGTAGAAAATGAATGAGCTGAGGATCAATCATCCTCTGATAAAGAAAAGGAAGCGGTTTAGTGACTGCCCTGATGTGACGGGGAAGCTGGGAGGATCCAGCTGCCTGAGGCTCCGCCTCCTGATCAGATGCTACCTAATTGATGGTGACCCCCCCCTCCCCCCCAGTGGCCCGGGCCATCTGCAAACACCGAACCTTGCAGACCGGCATACTTCAGGCTCTCCCAGCCTGGGATGCTGTAGCAGCCGCCGCCGTCTTCTTGTTCCTCGGCTTCACAGCGAAACAGCAGGATGTTCATGTCTGCGAGCGTCAGCTTGGACATCAGCCTGTGAGAGACAGCGAGAGACTGCTTTACCTGCCAGAAAGGTGGTCTTTACCATGGAAATGCCACAGGAAGAAAACTGATCATCTTTCTATGTATTCAGACCCAGACCTCTGAAGAGCAGAGACCGTGATGGAGTAGATGGTCCTGCTGGTGGCTGCTAGACTGTAGCAGTCTGTCAAACACTGAGTTGCTCCCTTCTATTGGATATGCAGACCCACCATCACCTTGTCAGGTCTACCTGGGCCAGTATCTTATAAGGTAATTATTTATTAGTCTACCAGCTATATAACACCCTGTTCTACCATGGCTGCAGACCACCCCTTACTACTGGCTGTAGACCACCCCTTACTACTGGCTGTAGGCCGCCTCATTTCTACCACAGCTGTAGACCGCCCCGTTCTACCACGGCCGTAGACCAACCCGTTCTACCAGGGCTGTAGACCACCCCGCTCTACCGGCTGTAGACCACCCAGCTCTACCGGCTGTAGACCACCCAGCTCTACCGAATGTAGACCACCCTGCTCTACCGGCTGTAGTCCACGAATTTTGTACCTGCTTTAGACGGCCCAGTTCTACCACGGCTGTAGACCACCCTGTACTACCAGCTGTAGACTGCCCTGTTCTACCAATGCTGTAGACCGCCCCTTTCTACCATGGCTGTAGACCACTCATTTCTACCGGCTGTAGATCGCCCCATTCTACCACGCCTGTAAATCACCCAATACTACCGACTGAAGACCGCAATGTACACCCGGCTGTAGACAGCCCCATTCTACCGGCTGTGGACCGCCCCGTTCTACGAGCTGTAGACCACGTCATCCTACCACGGTTGTAGACCAACCCCCTGTTCTACTGGCTGTAGACCAACCCCCTGTTCTACTGGCTGTAGACCAACCCCCTGTTCTACTGGCTATAGACCAACCCCCTGTTCTACTGGCTGTAGACCAACCCCCTGTTCTACTGGCTGTAGACCAACCCCCTGTTCTACCGGCTGTAGTCCACTCCATCCTATCGGCTGTAGACTGCCCTGTTCTACCACGGCTGTACACTCCCCCTTTCTAGTGTCTGTAGACCACTTATTTGTACCGGCTGTAGACCACCCTGTTCCACTAACAGAGGGGTAACTCGGTTGGTAGTTTGATCTTTTCAGCATGAAGGCCAGAAACCATGAAACTTTGACTTCTTTCCAGCAGTCTGCTCCTTCTGGCCGTCATAGAATGATGTTCACCCAGAGGACATGTTTCACTGGACAGAGCTTCATTCAGTGGATCGGAAGCAAACAGGAAGTACTCACTGAGCGAGGGGTTTCTGCAGCACCTCTGGGGGGTTTTCATCTGGAACGCTGCCCTTCCTGTACTTGGGGCTGAACTGGGACAAATAAAACCTCAACACGCCCACCAGTTGCTGTGCCTTGGGGTCCAGGCTGACCCTGTTCAGCGTTGAGAAAATAGAGGTTTAGTTAAGGAGGTTCCACAAGGCGGCAGGGACGGCGTTCTGGGAGGTCTACCTGAAGGCGATGACGCTGCCGGGGGTCAGCTTCTGGAACTGGATTCTTTGGATGAACTCTGAGCGGCCTTTCGACGTCACCCCAGCGTGCTTCACCACTGTACTCTCCTGGATCTGGACCCATCAGAACCTTCCATGATGGACATATCCAAACAGCAGTCCCAAAGACCCCCCCCCCCTCCTTACCGGTATGTGCTCCTTTATCTCCACGGTGTACTCTGGCATGCCGTTTATATATTTCTCATCCTTCTTATAACTCCCTGCTTCTCTCTCCACCGTTCTCGCCTCCAAAATGATTTCTTCAATCTTACCTGAAGAAATCAAACATTCTAAAAACTTTCTTCTTCTGGGGAAAAAACGTCTACAAAGCAAAGTGTCACCAGTAGGCTAACGGTCCTACCGGGGATGAACATGGGCGGGGCGTCTGGCTCGTAGTGGTGGGTCTTGGGGTTCTTGAAGGCCGTCCTGCTCACGGTCACCACGGACTGGTGCGTGCTGGGGCAGTGCCGGGTGATGGCGACGATGTCCGCGTCCACCTGGTCAACGTAGACCTAAAGGAGGCAGAGCGGTGGACATGAGGCTCTGAGCAGCAGGGTGGGGTCATGCTCAAAGTGCAGAGCTGTACCTGGATGAAGCCCTGGGCCCCCAGCTCCTGGTGCAGCTTGTTGAGAGCCAGTTTCCCAGCGATGATGCCGCTCTGAGGGCCGACTTCCCCTGTGGAGGTGGGGGCGGCAGATGGGTTCCACTTGGGGTAGAAACGCTCCTCCTTCACCACAGAAATCTGCCTCCAACAGACAGGAAAGCAGCTGGTCTCACTGAGGGACTGGTCCAGACCTCACTGGATAAAAGCAGTGACTGACTGGCAGTCACTGGCAGCAGTGCAGACAAATCACCTGATGAGGGACCAGTTCATCGTATCCTCTGGTGGAGCCGGTGGCGCAGCAGGCCATGGACACCATGGCAGAGCTGGGCAGGGAGTCCAGGGCCGAGCGGAGCTGGAAACACAGGCGGAGTTATTAGAGGAGGAGCGGCTGAGAGGAGGCGGTCTGAGCGCCGGACCCACCTGGATCGGGCACTCGTTGTCGTGGGTCACATCCAGGAACATCGCGTGAGCGATGGAGGGCATCAGGGGACGCAGGCTGGGCTGGACGAAGGCCCCCACAGGTTCTCCGCCGTAGCGGTAGACCAGGCGGCCCTCTTCGTGGCTGTCTCCAGCTGACATGGCCTCTGGGGGGGGAGAGTTTCAGGTCACACAGGATCATACGGCCCCTGATCATACTGGCCCCTGATCATTCTGGCTTTGGCCCCTGGTCATTCTGGCCCCTGATGATTCTGGCTTGGGCCCCTGGTCATTCTGGCTTGGGACCCTGACGATTCTGGCTTTGGCCCCTGATCATTCTGGCCCCTGGTCATTCTGGCTTTGGACCCTGATCATTCTGGCCCCTGGTCATTCTGGCTTTGGCCCCTGATCATTCTGGCTTTGGCCCCTGATCATTCTGGCTTTGGACCCTGATCATTCTGGCTTTGGACCCTGATCATTCTGGCCCCTGGTCATTCTGGCTTTGGCCCCTGGTCATTCTGGCCCCTGATGATTCTGGCTTGGACCCCTGGTCATTCTGGCTTGGGACCCTGACGATTCTGGCTTTGGCCCCTGATCATTCTGGCTTGGGCCCCTGATCATTCTGGCTTTGGCCCCTGATCATTCTGGCTTTGGCCCCTGATCATTCTGGCTTTGGCCCCTGATCATTCTGGCTTTGGACCCTGATCATTCTGGCTTTGGCCCCTGATCATTCTGGCCCCTGGTCATTCTGGCCTTGGCCCCTGATCAATCTGGCCCCTGATCATTCTGGCTTTGGACCCTGACGATTCTGGCTTTGGACCCTGATCATTCTGGCTTTGGACCCTGATCATTCTGGCTTTGGACCCTGATCATTCTGGCTTTGGCCCCTGATCATT